TTAAATCAAGTGAAATCGGTAAAATAACGACACCAGGAGCAAGCAACACACGTATGGAATAAGGTAAGCCATTTTTATTTAATATTTTCACTTTTAACTATCTCTATGGCTATCTTGTAGAAAATCCCATACAAATCCTTATAAATCGATATGCAAATTGTGTTCCTTGTGTGGTTCTCAAAGAGAGCTTGGGCCACCTGTGATAGCACAGAGGAAATAATTGCTTACCAGTATAATTATGTACATTAACAGAATAAATCTAAAATCTTTAACTTGCAGAAGATTGCTGGCCTACCATATTTATCAGTGTAAAGGTTGACCTTTTATGACCGAAAAAAAAGGCAAAAATATCACCGTCGACTTCTACATGGATCATAATTATACAAGACCTGACCCGAGCAATGCAAGAAACTAGCACAACAATTGCATGAAGTCCATTAGGAAAACCGATTTTACAAAACCACTTCTACTTGTGTTCGAGTTTCATCAGTTTTCAGCACGTTCTTCATCAAAGAAAAAGGTTTGTATCTTCTAATCTGTAGAGCACATTTTCCCTTATAGCTTAGCTGCTGTTTACTGTGCTGAACTCTCGTTTTCATCGAATAGTTACAGTAGTTTAGTGACCTGGCAAATGCTGCCAAGTTTTCCAAGATGGCGGTGTTTCCACTACGCGATCCTTCAAAGCTCTTCAGTGTTCCTTTGGTCTATTAAATCTCCTTTCCAACTTGACATTAAGATCATGGTCATTTAAATACATGAAGATTTCATTTTCAAAGCGAGTTACAAAATATGGTCGATTTCTTCTCCAGTAAATCGAAGTACTTGTGTATATGCTTAAATCATGAATCGTGGTGATGTAAACAAGTGCTACTAAACTTCACAGTACACGGCTACATTTTGCTCCACCTTTTTTTTCTTTGTTATTGTTCACCTTGTTTTCAATAAATTCTCAGAAATAAGAGATCAACCATGTGGGAAATTTCTACAGGTCTGAATTTTTCTTTATCTAGAAATAATGAAAAATCTGATTTTTGACTTTGACAATGGGGGGTCGACTTATACACAGATAAATACAGTATGTAACTGCTGATTCTAAATCTTCAATCTCCAATTGTCAATCACAAAATATAGATCAAAGGGTACCTGGTTCTTTTAACGATGACCTTGTGTTGTCAATGCAGTAGAGAGGCCGCACCACATGCTTCTCATATTCCTTGCCAGAAATTCTCTCCTTTATTTGTTTTTTCATCACTGCAATGTCATCAACTGGTTTGTCTGCATGCGTGCCAACAATGAACACTGGGGGGCGGAGGTAGGGCAACTTGTGCTGTGCATCATTATCTGTGTCATCAGTTACTGGTGCTTGGGCAACACTGTGAACTGTGGCCAGCCATGACAACAAATTCTCTATATTTGTTTCATTGTTGGAGTTTTCCAATCTGATATCAACTGTTCCTTGTCTGACGCAAGGCTCAGCTAGGGCATCTAGTGGCTTACTAAGATTGTGTACCAATACGTACAATGCTCGTGACGATAGAAAGATAGGGTGACTGGCATAGTACAAATGCTGCCCTGCAAAATCCCACATGTCTAAACTTAAGAAAACCTCTCTGTTGATGTCACCTCTACATTTGACATACTCTAGTCCCTGGTGAAGATATTTCATGATGTCATCTGGAGGTGAAGAGTCAATCTGTACCTCAGGTTCATTTGGTGAGTTTTCTTCTTTGGAATCCTGGAAATTTTCACCGCCTTTGTCCTCCTCTGCCTCAGCCTATATAAAGTTAATCAAATCAGAAATTAGTATAAGGATAATTAAGTAAATTAACATAATTATATCACTTACTGTATAATCAACACACATCAGTTTATGGTGAGGTACTTTGCAAAAAAGAGACTCCCTGACTAAGACATCCACAATTTCTCTGAACCATTAACATAGTGACAATTTTTGATCAAGTAGGAGAAGTAAAAGAGGTTTATTCCACAAAACAGCTTTAATTTGTGCCTGCAGTTGCTTTGCTGGTTATGCCTTCATTCAGTTTGTAATTTGAAATTTGAGGTGCCAAAATCTTTAAATCCATCTTGCACAAAAAAGAAAAAAGAAAAATAAAGATTACTGCTTACAGCCCTTTTTATCCTCAATTCAATGATGAATTGATAATTGTACATTCTCCTGCTAACATCAGGAAATGAAGATTTTACACTGTTCCTGTTTGCCTTTTCTTAGATTGTAGCAAGCCTCTGTGCAAGAAGCAGTTAATTTAAAGTTACATAAAGCATCTATGAATTTACACTAAGACCAGTTTACTTGATAGATGCAGGTGTACAATTCATCTTCTTTAGATAGCTATTAGACCATTTATATGAAATACTTTCCATAATAATTTATGAAACATAATCCTAATTTTGAATTCCATTGGTAACTCCTTACATTTGTTAAGGCAGTACTGGCTGATGTAACATACACGATTAGGAATTTAACCAATTACTAGTACCTAAGACAAGCAAAAACCAACGATAAAAACCGACGTTTTGGTGTCATGAGGCCATTGTCAAGGAGAAATAGAAATGACAGAGTTTGCGGCAAGGTGTAACAATAAATTAGCATAAATATTTCTCTTCGACAATGGTGTCATGATGACACCGAAACGTCGGTTTTTATCGTTGGTTTTTGCTTGTCTTTGCATTTCCAAATCTTTATTACTAGTACTTAGTACATTAAACTGTGTAATTACTCTTAATGATGTTTTAACTAAGTAAGGGATATTTTAAATTCCCACAATGACTTTTTCGCTGTCATAGGTCTAACTTTGTGAAAATCCCTTTTCAAAGAAGGTGGATGAATTGTGACTGATCCTTCCTCAAAATCATCTTCTGAACTTACTTCATCATCAGAGGAGTCTTCCACTGAACTTTCTTCTGAATCTTCTTCTTTTCTTGTACTATCTTCTGCATCTTTTCCTTGCCTCCTTAGCATATCCCCTAACAAAATATCTGCTATACCTTTACCATGTTCCAAGAGTACTGGTTTGTTCTTGTTGGTGGATTGCCAATTTCTGACTTGGTTAACATCAATTTCACACTTTGATGGATCCACTATAATCCCCTCTGTACTCTGCTCTTCAGGGTCAAATGGAAGGCCTAAGAGACTCTTCTTTAAACTGGTTTTACCTGCACGTTCCTGGCCAATGAGCATGATTCGACCACGGTAAACTTCTACATATCCATCTTTCAAAGCCCTTTCATAAGCCAACTCTACTTCACGTCCTTCTGGCCTCAGTCTTTCCACATAGTCTAGGCAGAGAAAGTTGTAATAATTAACCCAAAGGAAAAAGCAATTTCTGTTTTAGTAAGTTTCAACAAAATCTGAAACAAGCCTAGAAGTTGATAAATCAATTTACCATATGACCCAGAAGGACCTGAGTATGCAGCTTTCCCACAGCAAGCCATTGTGAAAGCTGTGTAGAGCTGGAGGGATTGATAAGCTTGGGTGGAAAAAGCTGTCCAGCCCTGCAGCATTCACACAGCTTTGTTGCAAAACTGTATATTTTTAATATTTCTAACATGAAAAACTTAACGTAAAGTTTTTTTTAATATAGTTAGTGGTCATATAATAAAATTAATGCTTATTTACTGAGTTTGTTTGAACCAGACAGGAAAACATTTGGCTCTTGCTCATGGCACACAGACCTTGCTGTGCTCAGTCCTGATGTCATGACCTCAAGCAGCTCCTCCCTCGACCTTCTCCATGAAATGCCTGTCATGCGCAATATGTACATGTAGGGTATTTTTTTTTCTGTAAAGTGACCATGAGACATTATAGCAGATTGACAAAATTTACATAAAGCTGCTTTGCTTAACACCTTTGTCTCTTTTCACCTGAGACAAGCAAGCTATTGTTGGCAGTTTGCTCGTGCCAAATAGAATCTATGGATGCAAGGTTTTTTTCACCTCAATGGACATGCAACTTGATGGCAAAATTATTTACCACAACAAGCAGAGATTTTGACTCAACTATCAAATTTTACACCTCAACAGTTGAAGGATGTTGTCAGTAGCACCAAAGTCCGTTTAGACACAAAGCTGTCTCGCTTAACACCTTCCTCTTAATTCATCTGAGACCAGCAAGCTATAGTTGGCAGTTTGTCCCTGCCAATAGTACTGAGGAAAAAACTGTCTCCATGAAATAGGACTTGATTGATTTCTTTGCACCTGAATTCTCAAATCCACGAAAATTCTACCTGTGTCATTATCATGCAACACACAGGAATACAGAGCCTGGATAACGTGGATACAAATAAAAATAATTATTCAAACATTCAAAAAAATCGAATCGACTGCCCATGCTTCAGTTCTTAAATCCTAACAAATTTTGGTTCTTTCTGGCAATCGTACAGAATAGTGTGCTGCCTCACCTAAGGCTTGCCAGTGATAAATGTCATAGAATCAAAGTATTTTCCTGATGTTATAATTATGCATTGGTGAGTTTGCTAAACATGTACACCATGACTATCATAGAGTGACTCCATGAAATGTAACATTAAAGTGCACCTAAACCCAAAAATTTTTTTTCGCTTAACGAAATAAGAGTATTTTTTGGAGTATTTCTGCGCAAACATTTTTTTTATTTGCTCAAATTTTCAATTGTCTGTGCCCAGTCAAAATACGGAAAATCGGCCGCCATCTTGCCCCACGACCGAGTTTAAAGAGGAATGGCTCTAGCGGATAATGTGACGTCAAATCGAGAACACGAAAGTCTGCTTTTCACACATTTTCACTTGTTTGGGAAGGTTGTGGTCGATATTGTCCGAAATATGCCGACCAGGTGT